TTTTTCGGGTTTATGACTACATACTGTACCTGTGAAACAAATGCCCTGATGTAGCCTCTAAACATCAGCATGTTGGCATCAACATTTAGAGTATTGCAGCATGAAACTAGCATGTAGCTAGTACATTACAACCTGCACAGAGGTGCTAGCACGGCAGAAGACTCTTAGTCGAGTTGATATATATTTTCTCAAATGTACCGCTTGCACAGGGAACAGGACTGTATGGACTCCCTTCAGAATTTCTTCCTGAGAACAGTAACGCTGTCCACTCTATAAAATGCGTTTTCACTTAAATGAAATCTGATGATTTGCTGAATAAAATGAATGATAAGATTATGCAAATTAAAATAACAATCAGTTTTTTTTAATGAGCTGATCATTTAAATGTTACCAATGAGTTGTTTGCGTGTGTACTGTATTTTGAGGGTGAATTTGTATTTGGAAGGTTACTTAAGTGTAAACTGGTATTTGCTGTTGCGTTTTGACAGTAACTTTTAAAGTAAACTGGTAATACTTTAAAAGTGACACTTGAAACATAAGTACTTAAGGGGGTTATACCTTGATCGTACTGCTCCATACTGATGTCGTGTTTCTCCTGTGGGTGCTGCATCCAACACTTTCACTTCTTGTCAGCATTGTGTGGTCTTTGACTGTTAGTAGTCTTTTCCGATTTCTGAAATAATGTTATGTTATATGTAACCGTGCTCCATGACTTGAGTATATTAGGGAACTCTGGTGTGTGTTGAACAGGTTTTAGTGATCCATACTGCCTGCTGACCATACTAGAGGACGAAAAGGCCAACCGGACACAACGGTCCAGGGCCAAACCCAGTAAATCTGTTGTAAAGGATGCTATATCAGGTGATAAAATTTACCAGACAGACATAAAGAAGCAAACACTGAACCCCATCTGGAACCAAACCTTCATACTGTGAGTCTGAGTTTGCTTATTTCAGAATGATCAGATTGAAATTTGCATTACTTATAATTGTCCTCCCTATTTAGAGAATTTGAAGATGTTGCTGGTGCCAGCTTCCACCTGGAGATGTGGTGAGAAAAACATCTATTTCTTTACTTCATCTGCTTTGAAATAAATCTTGTTCTTTACATTTGTCTTTGCCATTTCTATTTCAGGGATAAGGATGAAGAGGTGTCACTCACTCAGAAACTAGAAGAGATCAAGACCAACTTTAACAGTTTACGAAGGTATTGTGCTCTCCCTCTGACTCAAACACAAACAGTTAACTAAGCAGGACTGCTGAGCATTTTTAATCGTACCTGTTTAGGATGATCAAAGACGCCAAAAAGGAGAAAGGCACAGATGACTTTTTGGGGAACGTTGTCCTAAAACTACAGGTAGTAAATGTTCTTATTTAATTTAAGTGCAGATGGATATATTTTGCTCTCCACTGTCTTTCTGGTCTAATTTGTATCCTCATACTTTAGGATCTCCACTGTACTGAGGACAGCTGGTACAACCTGCAGCCCAGAACAGAAACATATCCTGATCGCGGCCAATGCCACCTGAATCTCAAGTTCATCCACAAAGCGGTAAATGTGTTTTTCGAAACCCATCCTGTAACACTTCGCAGTTTAATATTTGCACATTAACCATCTGTTAAAATCCATCTAAAATGAGGAAGCGGAATTTAAGGCCTCTAGTGAAGTTAATGACCCCAGGGTTCAAGCGTGTGTTGTAAGATATGGAATATGACTTTAATGTATATAACTGTACAGGCACGGTGGTTTGGGATAATGTATTATGTGACTGACAGAGAGATGGGACGCTGAGTGCTGGTCGGAGTGCTTACATCAACTACTGTGGGATCCTGCAGCAGTTTGTTCAAGCTTACATCTCTAAGCAGCAGGTAAAGGACAAGTTCAGTCCACCTTAAAACCCTTTTTAAATTTCGTACTCTTCTCTATTTCTTCTTAATCCTCCTCTCTTGTCTCATCTCTCTCAGAGTTCTGCTCCGTGGAAAGGGGCGCTGGGTGGCGAGGCTCAGACTCTCCTGGAGCTGTATGCTACGCAGAACGACCTCTCCCCTTTTCTTCAAGACCTGGCGTGAGCAACCTCTCAACATCTGGCAGACTTACAGTATTTCTGAGTACCAGTGTTTAAACATGAACATGATTGATCCAGCACATTCAAAAAGAATAACTTTCACAATAAAAGGAGCTTTATAGTGCATTTCTCATTGTTGTTTAGATCAATTATGTTTCCATAGGGGTTGGTGAAAATTCAGTATTATCATTTAGCAGCTCAAATTAATAATTCCAAGTAAGCGTTAAATAAAAATAAACAAAATTAATCATTTTCCAGGGTTTGTTTTAAAAGTAGAATATATGTCATGTGTTGCATTATATAGCAATTATTATTATATCATTGTGATATACTGAGTAGACTGATGAGCAACAATTGCAGATTTATCCATTTAAAATTAAATCAACAACACAATGTGTGCAAAAATGAAGGAGCCACTTTCCATAAACATCAAAATACTACAAAATTATCATGAAAGTGATTTTCACCCATATTGCCCAGCTCTGTGTTACCACAATAATGTGTGTGTGTGTCATGTGTTGACTTTCTGTTGCACTTCTGAGTAACGTGGATGTGTGTTGCCCTGACAGGAAGTGGGTAGCTTATAGTAAACTATATGAGAGCTTAGAGGTGGACTCGTCCGTGCTGTTCCAGCAGCTCACCAGTATCGAGTACCACTGGCATCAGCAGCAGCTGCCCTACCAACAGGTATGACTGCTCGCCTTACTGCTGGTAACCAGGAGTTGGTCTTTAAGCGCAGACTACTATTGAGAAAAATGCTGTGCTCTCTTAACAGAAACAGGAACTTGGGGATTCTCTTCATGATTTTCTGAAGTACGGACTGAGTCTAGTGGCCAAATACAGAGACATCTTCCCCCCAACTCCCAGCGCTACTCCGAAACTACACACACTGCTCAGGTACAGCCTGTTATACATGACCTGGTTGTTGTAATTAGATGAAGCAATACATGAATATACTTTTGTTCCCAGAATCTTGGTCCAAATCTGTAAGACTCAGGCTTTTCAGAAGCTGAACCCAGCTCAGTTTGAGTTGCATGAGGGGGTCAATGATGCCATACAGGTCAGTAATCATACTAATGAGATCATCGCATAATGTATGCATATAATAAGTCCTTAATCACGGAGGTATGACTTCTTTGTTTGTTTGTTTGTTTTTTTTACACCAGAGCGGTACACAAGAGTGGTTTGCCATCAAAAAGGGTTTGCATCAGCCAATGACTAAGGTGAAGACCTCATGAAAGCCTTCACACTCTACTTGCATTAGATGCTGCGGTATTATGTCCATTTTATTTCACAGTACTAATTTCATGTTGTCTTTACACGTGGTGATACAGGACCTGTCGGAGATTGTGAACGCCCTCTCTGGGTTGATTGGGGAGGTGCAGGAAGACATTAAACATAACAAGGATGTCTGGAACAGGGTATTTGTTAGGTAAGGTGGAACAATTTGACTGTGGATGTTTTGTTTTTTTCCCCAACAGACTCATGACTTGCCAAGCACAAGTGTAAACTTAATAACTGCTGCATTCTATTTGGGTGTGCTGTTTCACTCACTGTGCACTGGCTAGAATGGCCCACCAGTAGGCCTATACTTAGAACAGACACAGACAGTGTCAGTGTTATTGGTCACGCCTGTGCTTCTCCTGCTATGACAAAATATCTGCTGCAAAAGTATACTTAAAGCAAAGAAGACAGACTCTTATCATAATGAAGGTTTTACCTCATCATTTAGTGCTGTGCAAGTGGATGTGTTCACCGTCATCTATCGGAAGTTTGACTCCCTGGTAAGTGTTTAATGGAACCATGTGACTTTTCTTGACAAACGTGGCAACCCTGTTTCATCTCATCACATTTTCTCTTCTTCCTAGTTGGCAAATGAAGTGAAGGAAACCTTATCCCTGATAGAAGGTCTGATGGAGCAGCATCTAGCCAACAGTCTGTTCCCTGTTTACCTGAGCCTGCAGGCCATCCACAAAGACAAGGCTTTCTTACAGAAAAGGTCAGAGATCACACTGATGCCACACTGTGCACAAAGTTTCACATTTTCTTTGACACATCCCCGTAAGAGGATTTCAAGGATCAGCTACATGTTTCATCTGATTTTCACGTAACACTACTGGAATATTTTTTGATACAACTGAACAGTTAGTGTTTAGGTTTGTCAGCAAATGTGAACTGTGCTTATTACCACTGGCAGAATTACTTTATCTAACAAGCAACTGTTTTTCATTACTTTTAGCTATTTTGTCAACTATCTATTACTTTTGGCTAATTATTCAGTTTATCCACTACATTTAGTCTATTTCAACTGTATATCCACCACCTTTAGCAAATTTTTTAATTGTTTACTTCTTCTTTTAGCTGATTATTTCATGTTTATCCATTATTTTTAGCTATTTCACCAGTTAAATAATTTTGCAATTGCGCCAAAATTTCCATTGTTTTTGTAATAAAAGTAAGGGATACATTGTAAATAGATAGATGTTTTAAAACATTTAACAGTTTAAACCATATCCATATTTTTGCTATTTTAACTTCTCTGCTGGCTAGTTGTTCATCTGTGGCTTTAGGCAGAGTCTGTCTGTTGTTTCAGGGGATTACTTGAGCTGACAAACTTTCAAGAGGGCTTCAGAGAAGCTCTGCCCTACTGGCTCCACCAGGCGTTCAGCACCACTCAGGACAGGGTGGAGAGGGCTGTGCAGATGGACCAGGTAATATTCCTTTTTTATGTATTATTATTACTATAATGGACATTTCATCCACATGCAGCCCTATCGTTTTGCTGTAAACTCCTCTGCTCTCAGCTCCAGCCCCTGCAGTCCGGTGCGGAGCCAATAAAGCACAGTTCCTCAGCTGTGGACCTGGTGTCATGTATCCAGCCAATCTGCCAGCTGTGGGAGCAGCTATCCTGGCCTGACCCCGAGGAGGCCTTCATGCTCATGGTCAAACTCACTGAGGTACAGTATGCTGCCTTTAACGTGGTTTTAAGCAAATGCTATAATGCTCAGATTAGCTGAATGTGGAAATGCCAGTAGCTGTCTGAGATCTGTGTGTCCTTACCGTGTGTTTTCAGGATGTGTGTAAGATTGTGGTGAACTACAGTAAAATCTTGAAGGACAGAGTCAGGGTGCTTTCTGAGAACTCAGACCACAGCAGTGCCATCAACATGGTAAGCAACGGGAAGGAGGAAATACTTCACTAGACATATTTCTCATCCTGCATAATTCAGAAAAATCTCAAATATCTCCTGTCTGCAGTTGTGTGTGGTAGTGAACGACCTGGAGCACCTAACGCCTGTGCTGGAACAGCTTCCGAAACAGCTGAACTGGCAAGGCCTTCGGGACCGGACTCAAAATGTGATAGGGAAAAGCCAGTTCAGCAACACGCTAGATTCACAGCTTGAGCAAACCAAGAGCTTCCTCACCCGAGAGATCAACTCGGCTTTAACCACTCTTAGGAAAAAGGTATGTGTGGTGTGATAATTGAGATATTGCTTTGAAATGATCTACAATATATGACAATCAGTAAACCTTGATTAAAATTTTAATCATGATATATTTAAAAACCTTTAACTCGGTATCTGAATGTCTCTCAAGCTGAAAACAGACATTGAGACTCATGTCAGAAACATGGCATCCAGGCACAGGACCCCCTCCCAGTCTACAGAGGATGTAAGTGACCATCACTGCGCAGTTTAAGACAAATATTGGTGCCTATTGTGTTTGCTTCATATTCAGCCTCCTTTCTGTTTTAGGCTGCAACCCCTCTGATGCGCTACCTGGAGAAAGAGCTGCAGTATATGAATAAAACCCTGGTTCCAAAGAACTTCAACAGGTACAAGGCTTGATCATCACCCAACCACACCATTGTTCTTGTCTGCCACTGTGTGCCCTCATGTTTCATTGTGTTGCTCATGTTGATTTAATCCAGTCTCCTGACTCCTCTGTGGAATAACTCAGTGGAGGTCCTCTACCAGGTGGCTACTCAGCATCCGCAACAAGAAGGGCTCATGGTGTTCTGCCAGAGGCTGCTGTATACGCTGCAGGTTGGTCCTGGGCCATGTGCTTAACTTGCCTACTTGAGAAGGAAGTCCTTTTACAGTGAACTCTTCAGGCACTCTAGCAGCATGATTCTAGTGTTAACCAGTTTTGCCCAGACTAAAATATCTTAAGAGTAAAGCTAGAGGATGATAAAATACCTGCTAAATGAATAACTTTTCTATGCACTTCACTTGTACTTGGTGCTTAGTACTAATTACCAAAGGAATCTGGCAAGTAGCATCATGGATGTAACATACTGCGTACGTTAGCATTTAACCGCTGTGCCTGATTCTATTCTCACAAAGCTGCTAACATGGCTGTAGGCACTTTGTGCACCCAGACACAGCTTAATGTTACCGGAACTTGTTCTTCTGTGTGTTTTAGTGCCTAGAGCAGTGCTTCCATGCTGAGGGAAATGGACTCCCTCTGAACACACTCCGCTCTAACGAGTACCAGGTGAGAAACTACAGACACAGCAGAGCAGAATAGTGGTCTTGTTTCTTTAGAACAAAAGGGAAAAGTTGAGAAAAGTGTAATGAAAACACACAGTATACAATGAAATATCTCTCCTGTCTGTCCAGACTCTCAAAGCTCACCTGACTCAACATGCTCTGAGCAGCTGGGAGCTTGTGCAGAAGTTCTTTGATAGGAAAATAAAAGAGCAGGTAAAGGCTGACACCCATTGTAACCGTATAAACTTCTGCCTGTCAATTTGCTCCAACTTGCTTGTTTCTCCTACATGCATGGCAGAAAGCGCACAGTGGGGAGAAGTATGGTGCAGTCACACTCCTCACATCTTACAGAAGATCAGACCAAAGACTCAGAGTCGAGGTGCTGAATGCAGTCAACCTTTTACCAATGGACTCTAATGGTGAGACCATGCAGAACAGTCACAGCCATGTACTGTAGATCCGGTATGTAACAGAAATTGGACTTTGCTATGTGACTTTTCCTTTGATGTTTTTGCCAGGATTGAGTGATCCATTTGTGCAGCTTTGTCTGGAGCCTAACCACATCTTTCCTGAGGTAGAACCTCGCTGCACTCGGATCAAAAGCTGTGATCTCAATCCCCTTTTTGATGAAGCCTTTGAATTGTAAGTTGTTTTTATATTTGTCAGTGCATCTTTCTTAGGTCTGTTTTCACTCTCACAAGGGAGCCTGTAGTCAATGAAGATGTTTTTGACCTTCCACTTCTTTATATTATAGTCTTGTTTCCCCGGACCAGTGTCAGGCTGAAGGGGCTTGCCTGGTGGTGACTGTTCTGGACCACGACACCTTGAAGACAGATGACTTTGAGGGCGAGGCCTTTCTCCGTCTAAGAGACGTACCAGGAGTTGTTGGAGGAAAAGAAGATGGACTCGGCTCACACCCGGAAGATAGCCCCGCACAGATACGCCTGCCTCTGATGCACCCTAAACCTAATGGTATGATCTGTCCACCCATAAGTTTCAGAAAAAACATTAATGCTGCTTTAAGGAGCTCATTTTGCTATTTGATCTTTCAAAACACATTTTCAGTTGAATTAGGACAAACCTCTTGAATTACCACGGAGCTCCTGGGTCCCCAGACAGTTGCTTGTTGTGCTATATTGTTAACCCAGCCTCGATTGAAGGAGGTTTATAGTGCTACACTTAATTGACAGTAGGTCTCATAATTAAAACTTCGACATCAATTGGCATTACCAACCTCTGACAGGCTGCATTTGATTTCATCAATAATTTATGTAAACCGATGCAAAAGCTAATTTGTTTTTGTGTACTTTCCCAGAGGACAGCATTCTGAGGATACTGGAGTCCAGGAAAGGAGAGCGAGAGGCTCAGGCCTTCGTGAAGAAGCGAAGACAGAGAGAGAAACAGTCCCAGGAAGGGATGTCACTGTAATAAACCTACAGAGACAGGATCTTCCTCCAAAAATATACAATTTGTTTTAATGATTTGTACCAAAAACAAAGAAAAATCCACTCAAAAGGAAACACTGGTGTTGGCTGAGATGTGTGTGGACAGTATGTGAGCATAGTTTTTACCAGAGACCACCACAGTGATCATGAGCATGGTCACACCGGCACTGAAACCTCACACGCCTTTACTTCTGCTTCCTGGTGATTCATCTAATCAGTGCAAGAGATAAGTATGACATTTGTAAAATGACAATGATTATTACAAATGTAAAAATTTTGGCAGAGAAATCTGTCACATTGATTTTAAACATAGCAATAGGGTCGGTTTTAACAAAAACTGTATTTTTGAGTTATATCAACAGTGTTTCTGTGAAAATTAAAAATGTAATTTCAAAGACTACACAAGTTGACTTAGTACTGTTGCCTTGATTGTGTTAACATGCGTTCCTCTTCCAGTTTATGTAGAAGAATATTAGAGAAAACCTGAGAGCTTGGAAACAAATAGTACAAATTTTTTACATGTTTTCCATTTTTATGCAACAGTATTTGACAATTTAAAATTTTTACTAAAAAAAAAACTATGAAAATAAGAAAAAGAACAAATTTAATCTAAAGAAGCACTACCAGCAGATTGGTATGACAATCCTCCCCCTTTGGCTGTAGCAATACTAGATTATTGTCTGGATGAAACTGAATATGCCCTTTAACCATCTTCAGTCAGACCAGTTCATTTTGTGAAGATGGCTCATCACCCTAATAAATCTACATAAAACTGCCAAATCTGGAACTGTCATCCATCCATTTAGACAGTTTTGGGTTCTTTGCTGTCACGCAACACAACTACATCAGCCTCTTTTCACAGATTAAAACACAGTTACTCATGATAATTGGATGTAAACACACAGAACAACGAGCCAGCGTGATACTACCAGGCCACCAAGGCCAACCTAGTCAGGAAGCCCATTGTAGTTTTACGCTCACATCTGAGGTGCATATTCATTTCCTTCATAAGTACTGGTATACTTCATTCCATGTAATGTATACAGTTGGAGTACCTCAGCAGAAAATGTCCTTGAATGTGGATTCTGGTTTGAGAAATGTAGATTATCATGAGTAACTGTTCAACTTGTATATGAAATGTTTTGGAGCTTTGAGTTCAGTGTTTAAACCTCAGCAAATCCCAGTGAAACTATCCAAATGGAGGGACAGTACTTATAATGTGAGTTTCTTTACAGGGAGCTTCTGCTTTAAAACATCACATATGATTTTGAACTGTGGATGTATATGTTTCAGAATTAGGATTACCAAAGACATAAGAGCAGGTCTTGGAGTTGCTTTCACAAATCAAGAACATGGGTAAAGAACAGTGTTGCTGGTCAAGAGCAATAACTAGTAAAAATGTACTGGTGTCCCATGGGTAACACTGGAAAGATTATTAATCCTAAATTCCACATTATGAGCTTGGCCATCTATTAGTAAACGTCACCTAAAAATACAAAACCAGATCAGTGCTCGTGGTGTTACCACAATATAATAAAAACAACCTTGACATAATTTTGAATAGCAGGTGGAAATCCAAGGCTGGTATATGTGGAATCAGAACTGACTGGTCTGGAATCTGTAGTGGTCTGACTGGGCTGTGAGGTCAAGAGAGCTGCTGCTCCAGGATTTGTTCAGGGCAGAGCGGGCACTCTGTGGACGTGGAGCAGCTCTCGCACTGCAGTCCGTGGCCACAGGGCAGCGACACCGAGCCCTGCTCGCCACATGTCACACAGCATTGTCTCTGCTTCCTGTACACCACCTGGGCAAACACAGGAAAAATGTTCAGACCTCCTCAACTGCAGAATGCTGAATAATTCACAGGAGCACACATGATGTTCTCGACCATTTGTAAGCAGGGGAAAGCAAGAGCTGTTTAGCAAGCTGTAATTGATGCGCAATATTTGTCCCAGTGAAAGGGGGCCCAGCAGAAAAAGTTCTTGAACCACAGCTATGAGAATTTTTTCATATTCTGTGACATTTTCTATGTAGATAAAATATTCAAAAATTAGTCAAGTTACTATTTCATAACCATAACAATAATTATTCAGCCGTATAATATCTTGTGTACTTGTGACCAGTTAATGGAACCCTGGTGAAATGTCCCCTACCTTTTAAATCTGATTACATTTGTCTTTTTTTTTTTTTTTTTTTAAAGAGCGTGTTTTACCTCAGTAAGCTCAGCTGGTTAACCAGTGAGCACTGATCACCTACAACGCTAGAGTGGACATGAAAAATTATGAACTGAAATGGAAAGTACTTCATCAGATTACACTGGTTTGGATTTGGTTTTCTGTGTCAGTCTAGGCTGGCTGAGGTGCATGGAAGCTCACGTGTGTTGTCCTACCTGCTCTACAGCTTGTAAACAGCCACAAAGCTGAGCCTGCAAACTGAGGATCGACTCCAAGGGCAGTCTGTGTAGTAGCTGGAGTTGGTGCAGTTCTAGATGGGGGTTGTCTCCACTTCTTAAACTCTCCAGCGCCTCCTGCAGAAGAGTAGCCTGCCTCTGCGCTGCCTCCTCAGCCTGCCTGGCTCTCTCCGCCTCCATGGCTAATCGTGTTGCATGGGCACGTGACTCCTCTGTATCTGCCTTTAGTGCAGCCCACGACTACGAGCGAAAGCAGCCAAAATACAAGATAACCAATAGAAAAAGATTAATCCATCCCCTCCATTACTGCATTATATATATGACAGTGTCTTTAAATGAACAGAAACACAGCCAAAAGCATCATAAGGAAGATACTATTGCACAGGTTAACACACTCCATGTCACAGACACCCATGCCTCACTACCTACCTACCTGAGCTGTGTGTCTCCAGCTGTGACCCCACTGCTTCAGTGTCCTATGAGCTTCCTCCAGCTCCTGTTTGAGCCTGGCAGTCTCTGCACAGGGGCCGGAAGGCAGCAGGGCAGGGGGTGTACCAGGGGAACCCTGGGCTGACGGGAAGTGCTCCCAGATGTTAGTGCTCATACCATTCAGACCTATAAGCAAAATACTAAATATGATCAAAATCATACCGTCCCTCACTACACCATTTGATGTCTAGAATCACATTCCACAAACCTAATGAGCTGTGAGATGGCCCCAGGAAGGTGCTCTCTGGCTGACCAGTTTGTGACAGGTGAGCAGAAAAGAACGGTGATGCGTGTGGCCTGATGGGAGGAGATGGCGAAGGGGAGCTGAAAGGAGCAGAGCTGCTAAAGGATCCCGGGATGTTGACTGGGGCAGAACTCTGAAGCTGACTACCTCCTTTTAAGACAAACACATAAGAGTTTTGTTTATGTGTGCATGCATACAGCTGGATGATGTGCATGTTTTCATATTTAAACTGTGTTTATGCTTGTGTCTTTAAAATACCCAGCATAACTCCCACACTGGGCAGAGCAGAGCTGCTCTCCAAGCTCCTCTCCAAGGCTGACACACCAAAATCATTCAGGTCCAGATCATCCAGAGCAGATTCTGCAACACAGCAAACACCAAATCATGTGTCAGATTTACAATTAATTGGTGTTTTTTTCCCCAATAGGGACAGCCTTTTTTGGCTTCGATATGGATCCCATTCCTTTAATATTAAATAGCTGCTGTTACCTATATTTACCTACAGTAAATGTTCCTTAAATATCTAACCCATTGAAATTGAAATGAACCTGGCACACTGTATTTTTCAGGAGCTTCTTGATCCAAATACTGGATCAAGTCCTGGTCCCAAATGATTAACTTTATTAGCTTAAATTAGTGATGTGAATAAAAGAATAACTGGGAGCTGGACATGACACTCTGAGAACTACAGATTCATTACAGGGCAGATACTAATTGCTACTTTGTATCGCATGTAAACACAGTTTGTGTAACCAGTCCAGTTTAAAGATCCCTGTTTGACAATTTTAAAACGTTGCATTAACAAAAGGTGGCACCACTGGACAAAATCATAAAACTGGCTGTGTCTACATCACAGGAGGCTGACGCTCATGTCCATAATGGGTGTGTTTTCACTCACACATAGGAAGTGCTTGGTGAACAAAAACACAGAGGAGCTTACAGACACACTTTGGAGAATGGAAGATTATGGTCCAAAACTCAGACAAATAATAGCCAGCTACACTTGTACTGTACAGTATATCCAACCAATGATAAAACACAGCAAATAAAAAATGCACACACTTTAAAAAGAACAGCCATGTTCAGTAGGATTGATGTAACAGAAGACAGATCATTTAGCCCTGCAATGGATTGGCGACCTGTCCAGGGTGTACCCCGCCTTCGCCCGATTGCTGGCCGGGATTGGCTCCGCCCCCCCCCCCG